TCTGTTGGGGAATGGCTAAGCAAATCTTGATACAGGAATGTAATGGAATATTACAGTGTCATAAAAAATGACGAAATGGCCAGTTTCAGAGGAATCTGGGAAAACCTCTATGAACTGATGCCGAATGAAATGAATAAAAGCAGAACAATTTAGACAATGACAACAACACCGTAGGGGGAAATAACTTTGAAAGGCTTTAGAATGGTTATTGATGCAATGACCAACTATTGGCCCAGAGGAGCAAAGATGAGACACACCAGCCACCTCTTTGGCAGGAATCAGACAGGTGATGACACGAAAATGCGGAATGAAACATGACATTTTTGGACGTGGCCAATGTGGGAATTTGCTTGGCTGGGCTAGGCATGTTTGTTTTGAGTGTTTTATTTTTAATTATTTTGTTGTTGTTGTTCAATAAGGGATGGGAGTGGTAAGGAGAAATAATAAATTTGTATAAAACATGAATAAAAGAGTCCAGCTCTTGGGCAAATCACTTAACCTTTTAGGGTCACAGTTTCCCTGTGCAGAGTGAAAGAGCTGAACTAAATGACATCTGAGGTCCCTTGTACCTTTAGGCTTTGGGCAGTTATAGTTTCAGGTTTTGTCCTTGTATCCTCAGCACCAAGCATAGTATTTGGCACATAGTAGGGCCTTAAAACATATTTGTTGAATGAATGAGAAGGTAGAAAGAGTGTTTGGACCTTGAACTCAGAAGACCTGAGTGTGGGTCAGCTTACAGCTTGGGCAACTCACTTCACCCATTTACTTCAGTTATCTCATCTGTAAAATGGGGATAATAATATCAGTAACTACCTATAGTTGAGATGGTTGGACAAAAAAACACTTTTCAAGTCTTAAGGGACTGAAGAAATGTCAGTTATCTGTATACATGCATGTACATGTTGAGACAGTCCTTCAGAAGGATGTATGTGCATTCACACCCGTGGCAGACAAAAATAAATAGTCTGGGACATCCTCATAAGTAACTGTGTAAATGATCATGTAATCAAGCATATGTGCATACTCCAGACAAATGTAAGATAATAGATGATATCTCTATGGCGGCTTGTAAGGTTTAAACTTCTTCACAATCATCTTGTGAGGTAGGTATTATAAGTATCCCCACTTTATGGATGAAGGCATCTATAAACTAGGGATACTTACAACATCTCAGAGAGGGGGAGTTAACATAATCCAAAGTATGTAAACTTCTGAACTAGGATTCTAACTCAGGCCTTCAGACTCTAAATTCAATCTTCTTTTCCTAACACCAATATTGCCTCTGCCAAGAATCTGGAGGGGGGGGGACCTAATAAATGCAAATACTACAGACTTAGGATATGCCACCCATTTCAGGCTAACATGGCCACACCTTAGTTAGATCACCCCAATTTAATTCCATAATCTGGAACACATGTACTGGAAGCCACTTCCCAGGTCTCTTACCCTACCCTGCCCAGTCATGGGTCATCTGCCCACCCTGGGGAATTCCTTAGTGTTTCCTCAGGTGAACTTGAAGCCACCAGCTGGCCCTGACCTCCAACCTCTCCCTGGCTGTAGGCTGTTTGAGAAGCTGGAGATTAAGATGACAGCTTGAAACCTCTTAAGATGACAGCCCTTAACCTCTTCAGTGCTGGTCCCGAGTGGGTCAGCAATGACGGGCTAGGGAAGGTAATCAGGGTATTTCTCTTAGATGTAATTGACCAGGCCTCTATTAAGACACTGTGCTAGACAGGCCCCTGGGACACCGAGCCAAAAACATTAGGTCTTGACCTCAAGGACCTTACCTTAGGGCTAGATGGGGGACACTGAGCTGGGGGAACCTGTGCCCTTTCATTTAATCTCTCTGGAAGTGAGACAACAGTCTCCACGCATGAAATAAATTTCATAAATTTCAGTCTGGGCCCTAGGGACCCCAGAAAGACACCCTCATTTACTGATGAGGAAACAGACCCAGGAAGCAAGCTATTTACTTACACAGGTAGCAGTGGGTGGGGAACATTTATTAAGCACCTGCTGTGTACCACACACCCATGCTAAGTGCTTTACAAATATTCTTGCATTTGAGGAAGGCAGTGTAGAACCATGGAAAGAGCACTTAACTTTGGAGGCAAAGGGTTCAAATACTGCCTTTAATGCTTCCTATCACAGAAATAGTCCGGAGCCTCAATGAGCTTCCATTTTATTGGGAGAAACAAGATGTGAACCTGTATGCCTAGATGTACACCAAGTCAACAGCAGATCATTTGGGAGAGGAGGACACCAGCAGCTGAGGGGATTGGCAGAGACCTCTTGTGGGGGGTGGCCTTAAGCTGAGCTCTGAAGGAGTCTAGGAATTCTAGTTACGATTTATAGAGCACTTTGAGCTTTGCAGGTGGTGAGGAGGAGGACACTGAAGGTGCTCTATAGCAGCAGAAAGAATGTCTGATCTGGAATGAGGGGCCCCAGGTACAAACCCCAACCCCACTTCCACGGGCACTATCTGGTCCCTTGCAAATCCGTGGATACCTCCCTCAATTTCCTCAAGCAGGCTGGACTAGATGGCTTCAGAGTTCATCAGGTCTAGAAACCTATGAACTGAGTTCAAATCCAGCCTCTGAAATTTACTGGCCACAGGGCAAGTCACTTAAACCCTCTGACTGCCAGTTCCTTCACTGGTGAAATGAGGCCTATAGATGCTACCTTATAGTGTTGTTATGAGGCTAAAATGAAACATGGTAGGTAAAGTGCTTTGTAAATTTTAAAGTCCTATATAAATGTTGGTTATTTATTACAGAAATGTGAATTACTAATTTTTCCTTGCTTGGAGATCAAGGAGTTAGAGCCTGGCATGGCCGCTATGGAGATAAGAGTCAAAATGGGCCCACAGAAAACAGCAAAAAATTTCTCACAGCAAAACAAAATATCCTCCCCCACCCCCACCCCTCCAATTACCCAAGTCAGATGCTTTGTCCACATAGCCAAGGCACAGGAAGGCAAGATGTGAGGAAGCACAGAGGAAAAACTGCAGACAGTATTATGAGGGGTTCAAAGGAGGACCTGGGGGGAATCAGGACAGACTTATCAGAGGAGATGGCACTGGTACTGGGCCTTAAAGGAAGTCTGGAGGATTTCTATAGGCAAAGAAGGTGGGTGGGAGGCAATTCCAGGGATTGGGAAATGGCGGGTGTGAAGATGGGAGGTGAGAAATTAGAGGAGCAGGAGCCTCTGATGAGGATGAGGAGCTAAGAAGCATCCAGCTAGGTGAAGAGAGAACTGGGCTGTTTCTTCAATTATACCTCAAGGAAGCTGGACTGGATGAATGCTCACTCAAGTCTCTTTCCATCTATAAATCTACAATCCCATGAGTCCAAGACTTAGGGCAAGAGCCTTTGCTTCAGAATGAGGGGGACTGGACCATCAGAGATTCCTTCCAACTCTGATCTGCTGTAATTCTATGACTGACTAGGTGAGAACAGGAAGGCAGGTTTGTAGGGCAGGCTTGGAAGGCCCTGAATGCCATGGACATCTGCCCAAGCCACCTAGAACTTAGTCACACCATTCATTCCTTTATTCCTTTCACTTAGCATTTAATTGAGAGCTTGCTATGTGCCCAGATCCCTTTGGAACATTGCCCTGAATGACCAGGGCCTAAGGGGGAAGAGGGGTAGGAGGTGAGATAGACTTGCTAGAACACAGAGCAAGACCTAGAAGGCCATTGGAATTAGGTCACATAAAATATTAGAGGGCAGCTAGGAGGATCAGCAGATTGAGGGCCAGGCCTGGAGTCTGGAAGACCTGAGTTCAAATCTAGCCTCAGACACTTACTAACTGTAAGACCCTGGGCAAGTCACTTCACCCTGTTTGCCTCAGTTTTCTCATCTGTAGAATGAACTAGGGGCAGCTAGGTGGCGCAGTGGACAGAACATCAGCCCTGAGTTCAAATTTGGCCTCCGACCAAAACACTTGACACTTACTAGCTGTGTGATCCTGGACAAGTCACTTAACTCCAATTGCCTAAAATAATAAGAATAAGAATAAGAAGAATGAACGGGAGAAGAAAATGGCAAACCACTTCAGTATCTTTGCCAAGAAGAAGCCAAATGGGGTCATGAAGAGTTGGATAGGACTGAAAACGACTAAACAACAACAAAAATATTGGTGGAAAGAACCTTGGACCATAGATTGTCAAGGCTGTATAAAATATAAGGTAGCAGAGTAGAAAGCGCCCTTAGGACACAGAGTGTCAAAACAGGAAGGAACCTCAGAGGCCATGTTTTACAGATGAGAATACTGAGGCTCAGCGTGGTTAAGTGATTTGTTCAGGATAACAAAGGGAGTAGAATATCTGCATTCAAACCCAGCTCCTTAGACTCTAAATTCAGGCTTCTACTATACCATTCTGAGGGACCTTAGAAGATACAATAGACTGCCAGAGCTGGAAGGGCTCTCGGAACACAGATCCCAGGATGACAGAACTGGAAGAGACTTTAGGATGTGGAAAATCCAAAATGGAAGGGGTTTGCAGAGATCATCTAACTCTCCTCCTTCATTTGGCAAGTAGGGAAACTGAGGATCAAGAAGGGAGTATATCTGCTCAAAGTCAGTGAGTCAGGGACAAAGCAGCAGTCGAATCTAGACGTAGTTGACGAAACAACTAGAGGACAGTATTTCATTCACCCCCAGGCAACAGAAATCTTATAGGACTTCAGTGAATGTTATGTGCCCACTGGAGAGCTGTGGCTTAAGCCTGGAACTCTGAAGCAGGTGGTACCAGGTGGCTCTCAACGAGGTTAGGTAAGAAGATAAGCAATGATGGTACCCAGCCTCTCCACCTTGGCGCTTGGGTAAGAGCTTTGGCTGTCGGGAGTGTGGTAGACTGGGAGAAGGCTTGTGAGGGCTATCTCTTGGGGCGTCTGGGTGTAAATGCTATGGTGACTCCCACCATAATTTTCCATGCCAAGGTTCCTGTGATCCTTAACGACCCTAATCAGCCATCCCATACACCCTCACCTACTCACTCGGCTCCAACTTGCTCTGCGGAGGGATGAGGAGGGGCGTCTCGGTTGGAAAGGCTCGGAACTGGATACAGTCAGGAATGGGGGGAATGAACCCCTTCAGGGCCAATAAAGGGGGGATTCCATTCACCCGCCTGGCCAATGGGGGAATTCCATTCACTCTCCTGACCAATAAGGGGAGGGTTCCATTTACCCTCACGGTCATTGTAGCGCCCCCCTTCCCCATTTACTTTTTGGGAGCGGGGTAGCGGTGGTGGAAAGAACTCTCAGCTTCAGGGGCTAGAAAATACTTCCCAAAGCCCTAGGCGTGGGCGAGGGAAACAAGCAAGCATCTCCAAAAAGAGGCAGGGTCAGACTAGGTTTTGGCGATTCCGGGCCGGGGATGGGGGCCGGGGGTGAGGAAGGGGAGGAAAAGGAGGTCAGAGCCAGGCTGGGGTCTGAATTGAGATGGTGGGGGATGGCCTGAGTGGAGGAGGGGAACAGAGAGGGAATAAGCCCGATGAAGTGGAGAGGAGGAGCAGTTAAGGGGTGGAGGTGCCAGCCTGAGAAGGGGGAAGGGCCAGTGCCCAGGGGACGAGGGGGGGAGGGGGACACCGCCCTACAAGCCAAGAGGGAGGCAGGGGGGAGGGGAAGGGGCACCGCCCCACAAAGGGGGAGGGGCAGTGCCCAGCGAGGGGGTGGGGCATGGCCTCTGGAGGAGGGAAATTATGGGGGGAGGGGCGTTACCCCTTCCCGGGCCCACGTGGAGAGGGGGCCGAGGGGGGCGGGGCGGCCAGTAGCGACCCGAGGTCGGGGGCGTTTCCCCCTCTCTTCCCCCTTCCCCTGGGGGCCATTGTGCCGCCGCAGCGGGAGTGGGACGCGCGTAGGGGGGCGGGGTCGCCCCTCCCCTCGCCTCCCCCCACCAGAGGGGGCGCACGCGGTGGCCCGGCCCCCCTCCCTCTGGGCGGGTCCCCTCCCCGCCCCCGCGGTCTCCGGTGCGTCAGGGGCGCGTCAGTGAGTGAGCGCGCGGGGCGGGCGGAGCCGGAGAGAGCGGAGCGCGGAGCCGGAGGGAGAGAAGGAGGGACCGGCCGGCGGCGGCAGGGACAGGCGTGGGCAGCAGCGGCGACAGCGCGAGGGCTTTAGCTCGGGTCTCCCTCTCTCACCCTCGGTCTCCCCGCCTGCCTGGCGCCCAGGGGCCGGCATGTCGGCCGTGGCCTGCGTGGATTACTTCGCCGCCGAGTGCCTGATGTCCATCTCCACGGGTGCCGTGGTGCACCCGGCGGCCCTGCCCCGGCCCGAACCCCCGCCCCCGGCCCCGCCAGCCCCGGATCCGCCGGCCCCGGGGGACTGCAGCCGGGAGGACCTGGAGGTGCGCGAGGCTCTGCAGGCGGCCGCGGCGCGCGGGGGCTCCCCGGCCCCGGGCCCCGGCCCCGCCGAGCCCCCCAACTTGCTGGCGGTGGCTAACATCCTGACGGACCTGCGCGGGCCGCGCCCCGCCTCGGCTCACTCGGAGAGCGGCAGCAGCACCTCCTCCTCGTCCTCGTCCTGCTCCTGCAACGGGGACCCCGACGGCGCCCCCCCGGCCGGCCCGCCCGCCCCCACGGCCGCCGCCCACGCCGCCTCCCGCCGCTGCCACAGCCCTTCACCTCCCAGCAAGCGCCACCCGTGCCGCTTCGAGGGCTGCTGCAAAGTTTACGGGAAGTCCTCCCACCTCAAGGCGCACATGCGGACGCACACAGGTGAGAGCCGCCCCCCCACCCCCGCCTATCTAGTCACTTGCCATCCCCGCATGTTCGCCTTCCCCTAGGCTCTCCTCCCCCCTTGGCCTGGGACCTGCTGCCCCGCTGCACCCGGCTGGCCCCTGGGCTCCGCTCGGCGCTCTCTCCCTCATATCCATTCCCTCCCCTCTTCTCCGCAGGTTCGCTTGTCGCCACCCTCTCTCCGTGCACCCCGCCGCTGGCAGTCCCATCACCCCAGTTCAGTTCGCCTTCGCGCCCCTCGGTCTATGCCCCCGCCCCCCCATCCTGGGCCCTCGATTCCCCCTGTCCGCCCTCCCCCTAGCACCATTGCTTCCCCTCCCCCCCTCCGAACCACCCCTTCCCGGCTCCCTGACCCTCCTCTCCCTCGGGGGTCCCCCGCCTTTGTTCCCCGCCAGCTGGGGGCTGGGTGGGGGCGGTTTGGGGGGGAGGGAGAAAGGTCGGGAGGCGGGATTGGTGATTTTCCACGCGGCTTCTACTCTCCTCCCTCCCAACCCCCCTCCCTGCGGGGGCGGGCACAGTTCGGTCTTCTGGGGGCGGGGAGCCCGGGTTAGGTGGCGGTGGGTACCCAGTGTGGCCCCCGCGGGCTCGCGTGGCCCCGGCTTTGTGTGGGCGTGGGTGGGGACCCCGCCCCCACGCGGTTCCCCCCTTCTAGCGTTTCCTGAGACGCGGGATTGGGGGGGGTCTCTTTGCTCAGATTAATGTATATGTGTGTATGGGGGGGGACACTAATAAGTTTGTTACGTGGGTGCGATTGGCGCGACCCCCGCCCCCGCTGCTGCCCGCCGAGTCGAGGGGAGGGGAGGGGACTCGGGTGGGCGGCGCCCAGGGAGCCGGCTGGGAGCGCGAGGTTGGCACAGCGCCCTGCGCGGGGCCGGGGGGGGGCGGCGGGCGGGCTGGCAGGCGGGCGGGCAGCACTTGAGTGGGGAAGGGGAGGCTGGGAGGCGGTGGACTCCAGAGTCTGTACTGGGGGCGGGGGGGGGCGTGGGACGCCTGTCCTCCCAGCTGATCCGCTCAGCCTGCGGCCCCTCCCCGCCTCCTTTTCCCTCCCCTCCTCACTAGGTCCTTCGGGCTGGTGGGGGAGCGGGAATGGAGGGGTGGGGCCATGGAGGCTGGGGGAGGATCTGAAACTGCTGCCTGAAGTTGGGGGGGGTTAACCCAAAACCCATTTTACATTTTAAGCCTTCTCGGATTGTGTCTTTTCAAATATGTGGTGATCTTGTTTGGGTGGGGCTGAGCAGCCTGGGAGACACCAGGTGGAGAATGTTTGACTTAGGGGCTGGGGGAGTTGGGGGTGGGGGATGAGGCGGCTGGTGTAGAACCTGAGCCCTGGAAGGGAGCTTTGAGATCCATCTGGTAGGGCCTTCGTTTTACAGGTGAGGATTCAGTCCCGGAGGGAAAGGGAGGAATTTGCCCTAGGCCCTTTGACCCCCAAATTCATTGCCCTTCCATCTGTACTAGGCTACCTAGCATCTTACATGTGTGTTGATGGAATCGTTTCCTGTTGCATTTACTTGTGTGGCATATCCTCCCAATAGACTATGAACTCCCTAAGCCAAGGACCTGACTTCTCTTTCTGTATCTTGTCCATAATCCCTTACAATGCTTTGAATATAGTAGAAATTGAAGGAAGTCTAGGCCCAGAGAGAGCTGGTGACTTGCCCAGGGTCACACAGTGTCACTGGCGGGGCACTGTTCTATATCGGTCCTTTATTAGTGACAACTACAGCGTCATAGATTTAGTGCTAGAACTAGACCTTGTTTTCAGTCCAACCTTCTTACTTTATAGTTGGGGAAGCTGAGGCCTGAGGGGTTGTGACTTGGTCAAGCTCACACTGGCTAGTAAGTAATCACGGACCGGATTTGAACCCACGCCCTCTGACTCCAAAACTAATCTTATGGGGAATTTTTTTTTTCCTTTCCACCCTTCCCCTTAAGGTTTTGATTTTATCTTGGGATCTTAGCATACTTAACCTGCCTCTGCATATTTCCCCCTACAAGAGAATCAGCTCCATGAGGGCAGCCTCCTGCCTCTTGGTTAAACTTCATCTCTTTCTCAATAATCTGGAGAAATGGAATGGATACTCCCTTGCAGGGATTGTTTCATTTTGGTCTCGGGATGATCCCCAGTGCCTGGGCACATAGTAGATGCTTACATGCTTGCTTATTCATAGAGTAGACACTTAAGAGTTTAAGTGAACATAGTTTTTTCCCCAGGGCTTTTATTTTATTTATTTATTTGTTTGTTTGGGCGATTGGGGTTAAGTGACTTGCCCAGGGTCACACAGCTAGTAAGTGTCAAGTGTTTGGTCTGAGGCCACATTTAAACTCAGGTCCTCCTTACTTCAGGGCCGGTTCTCTATCCACTGTGCCACCTAGCTGCCCCCCCAAAGGCCTTTAGAACAAAGAATGCTGAATGTTGGGAGAGCTTAAATGGGACCCTGGACACTCTCATCATTTTATAAATGGGGAAACTGAGGCCCTTAGAAGGGAAAGGACTTGCCTAGGGTCACAAGGTTAGTGATCAAGTTTGAGCAAATCCTTTTCCTTCTTTGGCAGTGAGGACGCAGGGACCTCCCCAATTTCTCCTAAGAACATCCAGGGACAATAAAAAAAGGGAGGGGGCTAATAGAACCTCCCCCCCTTAGGGGGGGTGTAGATATACGAGTTCTTTGGTGGAGGGCACTCAAACCCTCAAGAGTTGGAAGTGGGTCCCTGAGAAGCTGCAATCAACCTCAGGATCGCAAAGGCACACCCTGGACCTCCATCCTCCTGACTTGGAGGTCCCTTAGGCTTTCTGCCCACTGCTACTGCCTTTCCCTTGTTCTCTTTTGACTTCCCTGTTCGTAGCGTGGAAGAGAGGTAAAGAAGTTGGGACGGGAGGGGAAGGGCTCTGCCATGAACTTGGCCTGACTTTAGGGTCTGCCTTCCTGTTCTCCCTTCAGCCAGCCCTCACTTACAGTCTTGGGAGGAAAGTAACATTGAATAGTGAGGTTATCTCTAGTAACACCCAGATGAAAGATGATAAGTCATGCATCTATATTGGGCAGAATCCTGCCTGGGTGACCATAATTGTTACTTAACCTCTCTGGTTTCTTCATCTATAAAATGAGTAGATTGAACTAGGTAATCTGTAAGGTCTCGTCCATCTCTTAGTGTACAAAATTATGAAACTCTAATGAAGGAGGCAGGGAGTCTTCTACCGTTTCATAGAAGGGCCAGTCGTGGCTCCTAGAATCATAGGTTTAGAGATGGAAAGGGCCTTTGAGGTCAGTGAGTCCAGCTCCCTCGATTTACAGATGAGGGAGGGAGCTGAGTTGCAGAGGTTTTAAGTGACTTGCCCAAGGTCATACAGCTAGTAAGTCTCTAAGACAGGATTTGAATCCAGGTCTCCATGACTGAGTTTCGATGTGTTATTTACTATACCTCCTAGTAGAAGCAGAGTACTTGTTCATAGTTACCTGGGTCAGGCAGAAGCCTTGCTGGAAAGTCTGTGCCCTTACCACTACACTCTGGTGTTAAATGGTGCCATATGGGGCTCAGAAGAGTAAGATCACCCCCCACACACACACCACATACACACACTCACTGAGTTGGAAAGGTGTCAAGTTGGGCTGCAATGAAAAGGTGGTACTGCTCCTGCCTGATCCTCCCTCTCCTCTCTAGAATGTTGTTTGTGAGGGCTTCGGGAAGGGTCTTTCCCACCTTCTCCCTGTAGGATGTGGAGGGCTAGAGCTGCTTATGGCAGCAAATGGAAACACGTGTGAGTCAG